TAGGCATTTGTACTTAACACAATAGCAAAGATAGTAACCTTAACGACTCCGTCTAAGATTTGAATCTTTTAACTACGATGTTTTGAATTATAAGTTTGTATTGTGCACTTGATGTTGTATGATTGTGAAGAATTTGAATAAATTTGAACCTTAGTGTTCTTGTATTTTCCTCATGTACGACTCTCTCGATTAGGTGTCGAATTGATGGGATACACTATATATGGCATGGCGTTATAGCGAGGAAAAATTTGATATGCCCTTGTGCTATTCGGTCACTAACTTTTTTGGCACGGTTAAATGTCGAATTTTTAATCGATTTTGTCCATTTGACGGTTAAATGTCGAATTTTTTAATAAAAAGTTAGATTGATCAATAACCTGCGAGTTAGGGGAAAAAAATTTATTGGCTTCCATATTGATCGAGCTGATCCAACCTAAAAATTGAACCCTTGTTGAGGTTGCAGGAGAATCTTACTTACGCATCACTCCAAATATGAGAATTATAAGTAAAGTTCTCTTCAAATGGACAAGTTAAGACTTCACATCATGTATAAGAGAGCATTTATTAAGTTTATAATCAGCTTGACCTATTTTTGAGATAACTTTACATCTCTAATGTAATCCTTAGCCCCTGTTTGACCCACATTCTTTTTATTTTTATTCTTCCATTCATTTTCAATCACACATTTTTCAATTAAATAATATATTTTATCACATTAATAATTTTTTCTNTGTAGTCTTTAGCCCCTGTTTGACCCACATTCTCATTTTTATTTTTATTCTTCCATTTATTTTCAATCAAACATTCTTCAATTAAATAATATTTTTTATCACATCAATAATTTTTTCTTATTTTTCAACCACATATTCACCGTCACATCAAAAAAGAAAAAAAAAATGATTTCTTTTCGTTTTAATGTACGTCAAACACACGGCAACGAACGGTGATGACTATATTGACTTTGACTTGGCACAGCCCTTTTCACCTCGTCTGTTCTACATAATGAAAAAATACACAGGACTTGACAAGAAAATACGACGGAATGTGCTCCTACACGATGTGTTTGGTATTACTATTTGCATTTTTCATTTGTTTCGCTCAAGCGGATCAGCATCTGAGCACCAAAGAATGTGAAAATCTGGGTTTCACGGGTCTCGCTTTATGCTCCGATTGCCACACCTTTGCTGAATACATCAAAGATCAAGGTATTTATACGATTTCTATTTATATGCTTTCTTCCAGTTGTTTCTGGGTTTTGCAGATATGGGATTCCTGTAAATTGTGCGATTTTGTGCTTGTTTTCTTGATTTATTGTTTCCAAATTTGGATCTTAAAGATAGGTATATATAAACTAGAAGGGCCTTTGGTAGAATGGAATCGGAATGATAAAAGAAATCCTTTCATATTTGTCCCGGTTTTTGATGAATTCGTATCATTGAATCCCTCTGAATTGTGTGAGCGTGTTCTTTTTGATCGTGGGGATTAAGTTAATAATAGAGGCAGATAGCAAAAAAGCGTGAGTAATGTTATTTATAGTAAGGACCATCGGTAATCATTCTACGTGTAGTTTGTTATTTGATACATGATGCAATAAAAAGTTACAACGTATATGCATTAAGTGACAAACTGCCATATATATGTCACATTGGGCGACTATTGGTATGAATAGTATTATTCTTATGGAAATTGTATTGTTTTCCTTAAGACGCGCTAATTTCTAATATTACGCAAAGACGCATTTTTCTGAAAACTTGATAGCATTTCTTGCACTTATTGTAGTTTTTGGTAATATACACAGTAAATTATTATTGGCATCTTGCTTGTCTAAACTGATGTACTTAGTTGATTTTATTGGTGATTGTGTGCATTGCAGGTCTGGTGTATATGCAAATAAGTGTGTGTATATTATCTTTTCTAAAGATTTATGCTTTTTCTTCAATTCTTAGTTTCTCAATCATTGAAGATGGTTATTTATTGATTGCTGGTATTGGGGTCCCTTATAATTATGGATAATTGTTGCGTCTAAGGCTGCGATATTCTATTTTAAGGTTGCCTTTCCACTTTTTATTCCTGCTAGAACATCAATCCATTGACCTAAAAGAATGAAAAAAACTTGTAGTTTCTCATTTTTTGGGGGCCGGGGTTGGTCACCTGTAATATTCAGGTAAAAATTTATTATTACTAATCAAGACATTTGGACCGAAACTGATCTGAAAATAATGTGCAGTCAGTTGTCGATATTCAAGAAAAGTACAGGGACTCTGATTCCGGAGCTATTTCTCGTAGGCTGGTATTCTCATGGGAAATCTGTTTCGCCATATCATCAGAACCATTACAATAGAGTTGCAAAGGTGAGGAAAAACTGTATAACTTCCATAAAGTAGACTTGGGATTAATGAGTTTGTAATAAAATTTGGTATTGAGTGAAAGTTGAGACTGCTTAAGAGGGTTAATGCATACTGAGTAAAAGCTCAGACCATTTAAGAGTTAAGAGGTCCAGTTCGCATATAACCAGGTTAGTGAGTGAAGAATTTTCATATTCAGCTTAGAATTTAGATGAGACAAGACTTTGAATTTCCATGATTTGGATAGCTTGCAAGTATTTTCCAAGAAATAGATGTGGCAGGTCCTGACTTGTGTAGCCTATGTGGAGGAAGTGTTTGGGACCGAACAAGGCATTTCTCAGATCAGGCTTTCACCCATTTGAGAAGGGTTGAGACCATTAGAAGAGGTGAACGGCGGATGTTACATCTCAGGTTGAGGGAAAGACTAACGGCAGTGGCTTTTGAAAACTTAAGTGCATACTAGAAAGTGGGTTCCTCTATTTTCCGTGGATGAGCTGGCCCATCCTAACATCTTATTTGAGGGGCCGAACGACAAAGCCTCTTCCTTAGATAAAGATGTCTTCGACACTAATCACACGGCAAGAATAACTTTTTCTATTGTGATTTTTTGGCGAGTTTGGTCAAAAGGACCTTCAATACTGCTTTTTCCTTGCTCTGGACATTAATAATAGAAGGCAAGCTAGCATTAGCAAGGCAAGTTAACTTAAAATAACTTTTCAGGACGTGAGTGAATGCACGGACGAACCTGCTTTGAGGTGCTCCTGGTCCCTTGTTGGAACAACGAGAGCCTGGCTGAATTCAAAAGGATGAAGGGCCCGAAAGTCTAAAAAGGGGATTACTCTTTTGAGTCAGTTCTTTAGGCTGGATACCAGATTTTCTGAATCTCTCTCTTCCGGCCTACGTTATTAGTTCGAGATCAAAACTGAACCTAATAGACTCTTCTGTGCCAATTTCCATCTGAAAAATGTGAATTAGATGTCTGATAAGCCTCTCTTTATTATGGATAGATAAATCAATTTCACTTCAAGTTTAGTTATCATATTGCATTGACCATCAATAAGAAAAATTAAGTGATCTAGCCGAAGTTATCTACAAGCTGTTTTGTTTCGAAAACTGGGACTAAAACAGGAATGCAGAATGCTGCTTAAATTTGAAATGTTCAACTTGATTCGTCCAACAAATGGAATGATTTAGGTTTTAGTCACATTTTCCTGGCTTGATTTGCTTTGAAATCATTTGCTGGTGACAGATCTCCAGGAATTGGTGGCTTCACATGAGCATTTGTCCATCATTGCTGGGAAGTAATGAGTATTTGAAGAAAGTATCAAAAACTAGACAAGGTTATTTTGAAAAGAGTTTAATTATACCTTTGTGGGTTTGTTGCCTAAGGAAAAAAGGATGTGAATTCTGAGACTATAGCAATTGGCATGATTGCTAGTGCATGAAGTTATTGCAAAAGGTTCTAGCTCTTGGAATGAAAATAAGCGTTGGTCGCATTATTAC